TAACTTATTCCTTGCCACCCACTCTGAAACTAACTGCAACTCATTAGTTCAAAAGATATGAAACTCATATAAAACACAGATAAAATGCAGAACACAGCAAGTGGGAAGACATAATAGGGTGGAAAGAAGGTCATTTCTTAAACTATTTACTTTGTCAGAAGAAGTGTTTCTGTTTGCTTGATTGAATTCAGCGCTTTAACTCTGAAGCATCTAATTCTAATTTTGAACAGTATTGAGTACATGGTTACGTACAAATCCCTTACCTGGCAGAATAGAGCTGGTTTGACTCCACTGTGTGGCAACAACCTGAAGTAAAATGAAAAGTCTGTTAATCAACCATTAATGTGTGGTGAATACGAGATTATATAAATTACAGTTTTATTTATCGCTTTGGTGCAATTTTCACAACTCTTGGTACAAAACTCAAAACAGATCATCAACAAGGCAGTTGTTTCAAAACTTTAAACACATTTTCAATTGACTAAGTACAACACACAAACTAACGCGTTAGTAAACCCGCTACACCAGCGGGCCCCGGTGGCAATAAATAAATTAAACTGAAAGCTTACCTTGACTTGGAAGAGTTCCAGTGTTTGATAGCCTTAGCCAGCTAGCTAACATAAATAGCATTCCTCTCTGTTTGAGCCGGGTGTTTGAGTAGGCTAAATTAGCTAGCTGCATTAGCTAGCTAGCTAAGCAAGTGAAAGTGGAAAAATAATAAAATGAAATTTAGCTAGCTCCCTCTCTCTCTGCTTATTTTTAGAAATTAATTTGTTCAAAACTGTTCAACTATTGTCCGTTTCTCTCTGAATCAACTACTCCCCACATCTTGAAAATATGTATTTTCAGGATGTTGAAATCAGGCTCATTTTTTATTCTGAATGAAAGCTGAAAATAAGTCCTTTATAGGCGTCTATGTTTGGGCCAAATCATACTGGCCCCCCGTGGGAATCGAACCCACAACCCTGGCGTTGCAAACGCCATGCTCTACCAACTGAGCTACATCCCAGCCGGCCATTCCCTCCCCTACCCTGGACGACGCTGGGCCAATTGTGCGCAGCCCCATGGGTCTCCCGGTCGCGGCCGGCTACAACAGAGCCTGGATTCGAACCAGGATCTCTAGTGGCACAGCTAGCACTGCAATGCAGGGCATTAGACCACTGCGCCACTCGGGAGATGGTCCAAATAATGATGATCCATGCTTCTTTGAAAATATATATAATAATTTATCAAGCCAATTTTGTTTCTGGTGTCCTTTGACAGCTCTTTGGTCTTGGCCATAGTGGAGTTTGGAGTGTGACTGTTTGAAGTTGTGGACAGGTGTCTTTTATACTGATAACAAGTTCAAACAGGTGCCATTAATACAGGTAACGAGTGGAGGACAAAGGAGCCTCTTAAAGAAGAAGTTACAGGTCTGTGAGAGCCAGAAATCTTGCTTGTTTGTAGGTGACCAAATACTTATTTTCCACCATAATTTGCAAATAAATTCATTAAAAATCCTACAATGTGATTTTCTGGATTTCTTTTCCTCATTTTGTCTGTCATAGTTGACGTGTACCTATGATGAAAATGACAGGCCTCTCTCATCTTTTTAAGTGGGAGAACTTGCACAATTGGTGGCTGACTAAATACTTTTTTCCCCCACTGTATAAGACAAGTACTGGAAACAATAGAACACTATGAAAAGTCTGGGAAACCAGGCCTAGTATTCATAGCTGACTTTGAAAAGGCTTTTGATAAATTACGACTAGAATTCATATATACAGTGTATTAAGAAAGTATTCAGACCCCTTCACTTTTTCCACATTTTGTAACATTACAGCCTTATTCTGAAATGGATTAAATTAATTTTCTTCTTCAGGAGTTTTTGCAAATGTATACAAATTTGACTGATACTCTATTTTAATATATTTTCCTTTATTATTTTCCCCTAACCCTACCATCCCTCCCCGAATTGGAGTAAACTAATAGACAACAACTCTTAGTCTTCTACTTCTAGCTTAAACATACTATATACATTTTATGGACACAGTATATTTTACAATATACACCCACTCATTCCATGTTTTTCTTTCTTTTTTAAACTATTTTCTACATTGTAGAATAATAGTGAAGACATCAACTATGAAACAACACATATGGAATCATGTAGTAACCAAAAAAGTGTTAAATGTTCAAACAGCCACCCTTTGCCTTGATGACAGCTTTGCACACTATTGGCATTCTCTCAACCAGCTTCATGAGGTAGTCACCTGGAATGCATTTCAATTAACAGGTGTGCCTTGTTCAAAGTTAATTTGTGGAATATCTTTCCTTCTTAATGCATTTGAACCAGTTGGGTTGTGACAAGGTAGGGTTGGTAGACAGAAGATTGCCTTATTTGGTAAAAGACCAAGTCCATATTATGGCAAGAACAGCTCAAATAAGCAAAGAGAAATAACATTCAATCATTACTTTAAGACATGAAGGTCAGTCAATCCAGAAAATGTCATGAACTTTGAAAGTTTCTTCAAGTGCAGTCGCAAAAACCATCAAGCGCTATGATGAAACTGGCTCTCATGAGGACTGCCACAGGAAAGAAAGACCCAGAGTTACCTCTGCTGCAGAGGATAAGTTCATTAGAGTTACCAGCCTTAGAAATCGGCAATTAACTGCACCTCAGAATGCAGCCCAAATAACAGACACATCTCAACATCAACTGTTCAGAGGAGACTGCGTGAATCAGGCCTTCATGGTCAAATTGCTGCAAAGAAACCACTACTAAAGGACACCAATAATAAGAAGAGACTTGCTTGGGCCAAGAAACACAAGCAACAGACATTAGACCGGTGGAAATCTGTCCTTTGGTCTGATGAGTCCAAATTTGAGATTTTTGGTTCCAACCGCCGTGTCTTTGTGAGACGCAGAGTAGGTGAATGGATTATCTCCACATGTGTGGTTCCCACCGTGATGCATGGATGAGGAGGTGTGATGGTGTGGGGGTGCTTTGTTGATTTATTTAGAATTCAAGGCACACTTAACCAGCATGGTTACCACAGCATTTTGCAGCGATACGCCATCCCATCTGCTTTGCGCTATCATTTTTTTTTCAACAGGACAATGACCCAAAACACACCTCCAGGCTGTGTAAGGGCTTTTTGACCAAGAAGGAGAGTGATGGAGTGCTGCATCAGATGATCTGGCCTCCACAATCACCCAACCTCAACCCAATTGAGATGGTTTGGGATGAGTTGGACCGCAGAGTGAAGGAAAAGCAGCCAACAAGTGCTCAGCATATGTGGGAACTCCTTCAAGACTGTTGGAAAAGAATTCCAGGTGACCACCTCAAGAAGCTGGTTGAGAGAATGCTAAGATTGTGCAAAGCTGTCATCAAGGCAAAGGGTGGCTACTTTGAATAATGTTAAATACCAAATATATTTTCGTTTGTTTAACACTTTTTTGGTTACTACATGATTCCATATGTGTTATTTCATAGTTTTGATGTCTTCATTATTATTCTACAATGTAGAAAATAGTAAAAGTAAGAAAAACCCTTGAATGAGTAGGTGTGTCCAAACATTTGACTGGTACTGTATAAATATTTACAAAAAATATATGGGGGATTGGAAATGATGCAGACAATTACATTGATGGAAGCCACAATCTATCTGCAATATTAAAGCTGATCTACCCCCTAAAAAAAATATTCCTGGACAACAGTTGTGATTGTCCATTCCATATTGTCCATTTTACTTTGACCTATACTGTTTTTAGGATGTGTTGTTTGTTAACATGACAGCTAATTTTTTATATGATTGAGCACCATTTAGAAAGCTGCATGATGTAAAAAGTGTCCATCTCTTTACATTGTCATACATTTTATCTCCAGCCAGTAGGCTACAGAAAAGGCCACATACTCTTTCTACCATATCCTTCTACCATATCCACAGCGGGCCGGCTGTGAGCGTATCACCCTCTTTCAGGCCCTGTATGAGGCATGCAATGATTTCAATCCAGACCTAGGCCTATGTCATGCTTGGATTCACCAGGTGCATGAACAATGAGGACATTTACTGCGATTTTGAAGAGAACCTTTGGCCAAATGCTCAAGACAGGCTTGATGCAAACATGTTTTTTTATTAATTTCATTTGATTACATTGTGAAAGATGTCTTCAATGATCACACCTTTGATCACACATGGGATAGAAATGGTGGAAATGTGATGTTCAGTCACTTGTAATGGGTATAGCCTAATGCGAAAACAGTGTGATGTACTTTAATTTACAGTACTGTAGCATTCTACATTCAAAGGGCAATTTAGGAACATGTATGTTGCATTTTTTGCTATTGGATTAACTGGTTGTTAAAATAACTACATTGTGAAGATAAAACTTTGCAAGATTTCAAAAAAGATGTTTAACTCAAGCCATTATGAATTATGTTAGGACTTTTCAATTCACTCTGAATGGATTTAGTACAGGTTGTAGATTTCGCTGGTTGCAGTATCTCACTTACAAGAGAAAGCATCCATGCTGCATCTCCAGCCTAGAGGAAACAGAACTTTATTTAAAATGTATAAAATGAAGACATTTGCCATGATGACAGGAAAACGGTAAAACGTACTGTACCTTTTCAAAAAATGTTGCATACCTTTTCATCATTCAGCTTTCTCTCCCCACTTTCAATGAGTGAGTGGGTATTTTCTATTTCAGCCTGAGAAATAAAGATATAACCTCATTTTAATATTTTTCACCTTTTTGAGC